ATATATATAAGTTACAAATGCTCCAAAATTACCAACTTGTGAAAAAGTTTAAAGAAGTTATAACTACTCCTACATTAACATCTTAATAAAGCTTTTTAAGCAAACAGCTACTCGAAGGTTAACATTTTAATGCTAAGTAAAACTCACCAATAAACTTGTAAAGAAGCATAAAACTCCACAATAACAAAAGGGAAAACTATGTATGCTAAGCCTACTTTGGTAGAAAGGCACGTAATGATATCATATACAAAAGCCATCTGCCGGCTCGATTGAAAATATGGACGAATACTTCGCCGCACCTGAGTAAAAGAAAATAAAATAATAGAAGGATTTTGTATACTAAGGAAAATAAATATCTGTAATACCATGATATAAATATAATTTATAATATTAAAGAAAATTAAGTTTTAATGTTAATGCTTTAACTAAAACATTTAGCCATCTGATCACGCAAGTCTTGATAGCCAACTTACAAATAAGGTATGAATTGATTAGTTAACAAAATCTCCTGCCATCTGATCACGCAAGTCTTGATAGCCAACTTACAAATAAGGTATGAATTGATTAGTTAACAAAATCTCCTGCTATCTCATCACACGAGTCTTGACAGCCAACTCACAAAAAGGTATGAATTGAGTATTTAGCAAATCTCCTGCTATCTGATCACACGAGTCTTGACAGCCAACTACAAATAAGGTATGAATTGAGTATTTAGCAAAATCTCCTATCTGATCATACAAGTCTTGACAACCAACTTACAAATAAGGTATGAATTGAGTATTTAGCAAAATTTCCTATCTGATCATACAAGTCTTGACAGCCAACTTACAAATAAGATATGAATTGATTAGTTAAGAAAACCTCCTACCATCTGATCATACAAGATTTGATAGACAGTTCATAAATAAGGTATGAATTGATTAGTTAACAAAATCTCCTACCATCTGATCATACAAGATTTTATAGCTGCTATAATACCTAGATATTCATCTATTTTATGGGAATAAGTTTTAATGCTGCTGAAGAAGAAATTCCTGTGCAAGTATCAAAGTGCAACACAAAAAGAATAGAAGGGTGACACAACCTTCCTGTACAGCAACTCCCCCCTATGCACTTGCACTCGAGATAATGTCATTCTTAGACGAGGCAAGAAGAAAAGGTGCATCAGAGATGGAGAGGATAGGTGAGTGTCTATCAGAAATACAGTTTCAGATTACAGAAATGTTAACTTCCAAGAGCATACCTCACCTCTGCACATAGAATTACTAGAATCCTAAGTTGAATTGGCAGAGAGGCCAGTGTAAATGTTAAACCAAGATAAGCTCTCTTCAGAAAGCTCTCAAAGGGAAGGACTGTGGAATGTGACACCCAATGGCAGGGGCACACCGTTGGAAGACTGCATCTTGTCTTGACCAGGGTATATTCTTTGTCCAGAATGAAAGGGGTGGGAAAGGCAAATGAGCCTGAAGTATCACAGGGATGGGTGGAATGAAATACAAAACCTTCAGTTGATTTACTTAGGTAATTCTATGTACGAGATACAAAACCTTCAGTTGATTTACTTAGGTAATTCTATGTACGAGATACAAAACCTTCAGTTGATTTACTTAGGTAATTCTATGTACGGAAATACAAAACCTTCAGTTGATTTACTTAGGTAATTTTATGTACGAGATATAAAACCTTCAGTTGATTTACTTAGGTTATTTTATGTACGAGATATAAAATCTTCAGTTGATTTACTCAGGTAATTCTATGTACGAGATACAAAACCTTCAGTTGATTTACTTAGGTTATTTTATGTACGAGATACAAAATCTTCAGTTGATTTACTTAGGTTATTTTATGTACGAGATACAAAATCTTCAGTTGATTTACTTAGGTTATTTTATGTACGAGATACAAAATCTTCAGTTGATTTACTTAGGTAATTTATGTATGGTACACAAAATAGTCAAACCAATTAGGACTTATAAGATACAAAATAACAACTAATACCTTATTTTAGGGATTTAGCAAACAGTTCACCTGGTTGAATCCTAACATAAACCATTTCCTTTAGGACTTTACGGATTATCTAATATTTTAATTTTAATACAGATGTAAAGAAGTTTTTTTTTGTATCTTGTGCAAATGTCATTAGTTAATAAACTTTTACAAGTGTGTCCTTGGAAAACAGGATAATAATAATAATTTCATTAAACTGAGAAGAAACTTCATACTGATGCAACAAAATTAAATACTTACAGATCGTGCAGCCATGGTAAAGAGGGCACCTCCAAAAAATGTGAAATAGTAGCCAGGATAAAACCCATGCCACAAGGCTGACAAAAGAAAAGTTAGCAGAGTCTTGTGAGTTGGGGCTCTGTCATAAACAATCATCTTCAGCCACTGCTGTGTAGATTTGTTCCACGTTTTCACAGTATCTCGGACATTTAATGATAACTAAAAGTAGGAAAGCACTCAAAATTCACCATCTTCATGATACTACATCTTTATTCAACTTTCCTTACACTATTTATAAACTTTACATAAAATGACATTAGGATAACTATTACAACAGTTATCCAAAGCTCTGCATTTTAAATTATTCTTCTCAGTTTAACTCCTTAGGACATTAATCTAAGTGTGCAAGGATTTTTATATCATACTCCTTGAGAAAGTTGTATAAGCATACAAGGATATTACACCTTTTTTTCAAAGACACAAAATCACAATTTTTAATTAAGTAGTTTTACTTAAACTTTGTTCAAAATTAAAAATAATTTTCTTCATTTCAATTTTGATTAAGTTTCATTTGCATAATTTCTAAATCTCCAAGATAAATATCAAACGTTTTTGTTTCACTAAATTATATAATCTTATCTGCTATTTTCTCTACCTTAGCTCTATGTTCATTGAGTAAAATTGACCAAACGCGTAACCACCATAAAAAAAAAAGTGAAATGAGTAGTACTGTTCTATTCTTTTTAGTATTGGCCACAAAGTTCCAAGGTACTTCTCCTGAGAGTTTCTACTTCTAACCTTTTCACATCTATATCCTATGTTTATTTTATTATTAGTGGCTGAAGTAGAAACCTGCCAAACATAAAGCAATGAATCACAGCTCCTGCCATTACACTGTTGACAGTAAACAAACACGTGCAGCACAATAAGTCAAAGGTTCCCACAGAGTTTATCGTAATCTTGGCTCTGAGAACACATTGTGAAAAAATTTATTGGCTTGTTTACAGTACCGTGGATGCAAGTAAAATTATCTAAAGTAATAAAAGTGTATATGAAATGGCTCTGTATAAAGTCCAAGCTGATCTAATCATAAGTATTTGGATGTTAGTTATCCTCCTAAGGTGTACATTTATGAACATCTATATATATTATTACTATTTAGTAATAAAGGCTTTATTTTTAGTTATTTTCCTTAAAACATAGAACAATAAATAAATAAAAAAAATATAGAACACAATGATTTTTAATACTTGTAACATTACAAAATTGATTTTGTTGTACTTGTAAAGCCTTGTTCATTCTCTCCAGTATAGGAGGTAGATACATTAATTTTTGTAGATTTCAAAGATAAAGAATTATTGAATTACTATACTGGTACACATAAAAACACTAATTTATCTGGCTTTATAACTAAGCTATATGTGGGTTAAAAAATCTCATTTCTGTTCAGAGCAATGACTTAGTCAACAGACTCCAACATTTTTAGTAAAACTATGGCTTCCCCATTCAAGCCAATTATAAATAACTGTCAGATTTATGTAGTTTGGAATGTGCTATTTCTATTGGTTATAAACACGTACTAAATAAAAGTAGTTATGAATAGACAAGAGTCAAAAGGCTACACTGGAGGTTTGATAAATATACTGATATCTCAGCAAAACAAAAGGAGTGTGGGGGTTCTTATTTTATATTCTAACTTGCCAGTGTCTGAACTTTGAATTTCTAATTTGTTAACCACTATAGATGTTGTATGATAGGTGTAATAAAATATAAACTGAGCAATAAGACAAGAGGACATGCCATGTGACACAAACACACACAAAAAAAGGGTCATTTAACATTTCGTTTTTAATTTGATTTTGAATTTATAAACTATGTTTTGATACCAATTTTAATGATATATGTACATTGATAATAAAGTTGTTTAATGAAATTTAGAAAAGAGCTTTAAAACATCATGACATGTTCTCTTTGACTTCTCTGTAGTGAGTGGGTTAATTAATTCCACTAATTATTACTGGGGTTTCCTATGTATTTTATAAAGAAAATGAGTGATTTCAGCCTCTTTGGTGGTTAGCTCCTAACACTGAATCTGAAATAAACGTTGCTCAATATTATGCAATACATAGACCTCACGAGTCAGTAATTTAATAGTTAAAAGATATGTTGCTTAGCAGATGCTTTCATGCTTACCTCAAACTTTAAGATATCGATGTTTGACACAAGATCCCACTTTGGTTTACCATCAGTTGTAAATCCATTAAATCCAAGACCAGAAGCATTAGCAACAGCTTCTCCTATGAGATTTAAGAAAACAAATATATATACATGAAATTTGGATATGTTGCCTACAATACAACTTGTTCTTAGAATTTACTGATGTTGATCACTATCCAATACATTAACAAGTGTTTAATAAACCTGGCATTAGTTGTAGAAAAAAGAAAAGAAAAGTTATATAACACTTATAATATTAGCAAGTATCCACTGATCCTAGTATATAATGTATTACAAGTTCAATAAGTAACACGCTTTACACTATTAAATCAGTAAGAACACTCATCATATTAGCAAGTGTCCACTGATCCTAGTATATAATGTATTACAAGTACAATAAGTAACAAGCTTTACACTATTAAATCAGTAAGAACACTCATCATATTAGGTAATACATTATATACTAGGATCAGTGGATACTTGATGTTCAATAAGTAACAAGCTTTACACTATTAAATCAGTAAGAACACTCATCATATTAGTAAGTGTCCACTGATCCTAGTATCTAATGTATTACATGTACAATAAGTAACAAGCTTTACACTATTAAATCAGTAAGAACACTCATCATATTAGTAAGTGTCCACTGATCCTAGTATATAATGTATTACAAGTACAATAAATACCTAAAAGCCATGCGTGATAGTACTTGCACCGAGCAAATGATGTACAAATAACGAGGTAAAGCAACTGCCCATACCAAGATGTCTCATATAAGTACTTTGGATCTAGGAAAAGAGTAACAGATTTAAAGACAGAATATGTTTCCTGAACTCATGTTTAAAGACAAAACAATAAGAGTAAAACAGTTTCTTAAACCTATGTATAAATATAGTGGTAAGAGTAGTACAGAGACATCTCAAAAGTAAATAGACACCATGATGTTTATTCAATAGTCATTTAATTAAGAAAGGCATCCAATGGCCAAGTCAGTCACCTGATATGAACCCCATCGAGCATGTCTGGGTCATACTTGCTCGAGCAGTGAGATGAAGTTCTAGAAGACCAGCGTTCCATGGAGAGCTACTTGATGTTTTGTGTGCAGCCTGGGTTAAGATCCTACAGGAGAAAATTGCAGAACTCATCGATTCCATGCCAGAACGAGTCAAAGCACTGAAAAATGCTAGTGGCAAATCGGCTAAGTACTGATGCACACTTGTAAACATTTTTGTCAAGTTGATAATGCGAGATAAATGACTATTGAAAAAAATCATGGCGTCTATTTACTTTTGAGATGTCTCTGTACAATCTCTGTATATAAATATAGTGGTAAGAGCAGTACAATCTCCTAAATTTGTATATAAATATAGTGGTGAGAGTAACAGTCTCCTAAACCTGTGTATAAATATAGTGGTAAGAGTAGTACAATCTCCTAAATTTGTATATAAATATAGTGGTGAGAGTAACAGTCTCCTAAACCTGTGTATAAATATAGTGGTAAGAGTAGTACAATCTCCTAAATTTGTATATAAATATAGTGGTGAGAGTAACAGTCTCCTAAACCTATATATAAATATGATACAGTAAGAGTAGCATTCTCCTAGACTTGTGTGTAAATAAATATAAGATAGAAAGAACAGTAATTTCTCCTAAATTCCTGTTTATATAAAAGATAGTAAGAGTAGCACAGTAGGTGTGCAGTTAATAATGTGAAGTAACGGCAGTAGTTGTGTAGTTAATAATGTGAAGTAACGGCAGTAGGTGTGCAGTTAATAATGTGAGGTAACGGCAGTAGGTGTGTAGTTAATAATGTGAAGTAACGGCAGTAGGTGTGCAGTTAATAATGTGAAGTAATGGCAGTAGGTGTGCAGTTAATAATGTGAAGTAACGGCAGTAGGTGTGCAGTTAATAAAGTGAAGTAACGGCAGTAGGTGTGCAGTTAATAAAGTGAAGTAACGGCAGTAGGTGTGCAGTTAATAAAGTGAAGTAATGGCAGTAGGTGTGCAGTTAATAAAGTGAAGTAATGGCAGTAGGTGTGCAGTTAATAATGTGAAGTAATGGCAGTAGGTGTGCAGTTAATAATGTGAGGTAACAGCAGTAGTTGTGTAGTTAATGTGAGGTAACGGCAGTAGGTGTGCAGTTAATAATGTGAGGTAACGGCAGTAGGTGTGCAGTTAATAATGTGAAGTAACGACAGTAGTTGTGTAGTTAATAATGTGAGGTAAC